TGCGTCGTGTTTTCGCTCCTGACCAAACAGAGGACGGCCCCCGGGGGTTGAAAGTTGAGAGAAAAGTCCGCCGTGCCTTCCTGTGCTGAAGGACGCTGGAGGATCAGGTCGCTGTAGGACCAGGACGCTGGAGGACCAGGTCAGTGGCTCCCCGTGCGATTTACGAAGCCCGCGCGAATTCCCTGGGCTGGCGCATGAGACCCCTCCCCAAGCCTGTCCCCCTCGCGCGCGCGGAGCGGGAGGTGGCCCCGGAAACGCCGCGAAAAGGGGTGCGGGGAGAGGGGGGTCCAGCGCAGACCCGAAACATCTGCACGTCCGAACACTGATGTCGTGTTGTTGATTGTTCCTCGGGTGCCCAGGATCAGCGGGAGCGCGCAGCGAAGCCAGGATCTAAGCGCACGTATACACACACGCACACACATAGATATGTACATATGTATACACATACATACATACATACATACATACATACATACATGTATGCATGCATGCATGCATGCATGCATACATACATACATACAAACAACCAAAACAACAACCAAACAAACAAGCAAACAAACAAACAAACAAGCATACGCATACGCATATACATACACGATTGCAAATCTACAAACGTACATGTAGACAAACATGCATGCAAGCATGCATGCATGCATAGATACACATACCTACACAGACATACATGTTTACATACATGCATACATATATACATGCACACATACAGACAGACAGGCAGACAGACAGACATACCGACATACACACATACATACATACACATACATACGTACATACATACATAGATACATAGATGCATGTATACATATATACATACATACATACATACATAAATACATACATACATACATACATACATACATGCATGCATGCATGCATGCATGCATACATACATACATACAGACACACATACAGACAGACAGACAGACAGACAGACAGACAGGCAGACAGACAGACAGGCAGACAGACTGGCAGCCAGACATACACACACATATACATACATACATACATGCATACATACATACATACATACATACATACGTACGTACGTACGTACGTACGTACGTACATGCATGCATGCATGCATATATACATACATACATACATACATACATACATACATACATACATACATACATACATACATACACCCATACGTACGTACGTACGTACATACATATATACATACATGCATGCATGCATGCATACATACATGCATACATGCATACATGCATGCATGCATACATGCATACATGCATACATGCATACATGCATACATGCATACATACATACTTCGGGAGCCCATTTCCCAGAACTCGGGGAAGCGGTGGATGTGGTGGTTCGCTGGGCCCCTGGGGGCCCACATCCATTCAAATCCACCGCTTCCACAGGAGCTGGAAGGTCGGTTCTGACGGGCCTGTTGTCCACCACCACCACCATAAGTTGACGGGGGGAGGGGGTCCCCCTCCTCCTCCTCCTCCTCCTCCTCCTCCTCCTCCTCCTCCTCCTCCTCCTCCTCCTCCTCCTCCTTCCCCCCTCCAAATGATGGTGGTGGTGGTGTTGGAAAAGAGGCCCATCAAGTTCCGAAACCGGTGGGTCTGTATGGATACGCAGGGACCTCCGAGACTTTACGCTTAAGCCGTGTCCTCTTTTTCGACAGATGAGAATCGGCGGGCGCGTCAGCGCCACCCTGAAGGGCAATCAGAAGACCCAGACCCAAATCAACACAAAAACGCGCCATCCTCCATCTCGGTGGCACTGGCTCCGAAGCAAGACCTGGCAGCCGACGTTCCCGGATCCAGGGAGGCAATGGATCGGGTATCTTTGGGCACACCCCCGCTGGAACCGGAAAACATCCATATCCGTTGCTCTGGGGACGTCGGCTCCCTGGATGACAAATCCGCCGACCCTGTCGGCGTGTGCGAGGGGCTTGTCCGTTCAAGTCGTCATCTCCGTCATTCGTTGGTCGTCGTCTCTGTTGTCCCCTTTCCCTGCCTCCCCCTTTCCCTGGGCTCGTCGAAGCTCCCCCCTTTCCCAGAGACCTCCTCAGCGCGCCAACCAAAGCGAAGTTGAGCAACGTCGTAATCGAGTCGAAGGGAAGCCCCTTCCCTTCGATCCCTCCCCCGCCGGGGAGGGGGGGGTCCCCGGGGTGGTGTCCCGGGGGGGGGTCCCGGGGGGGGGGGTCCCGGGGGGGAGGGGTCAGATGCGACGGCCCCCCGGGGGAGTCCTGGAGCCCCAAGAAGCCCGAAGTCGGGCCAAGAGTACCCCAAGAGGCCCCAAAGACAGTCCAAAGATCGCCGAATCCTGTCGCCGAACCGCCGAACGCCGAACGATCTGTCCAAGACGCCTTGACGGCCTCCAGACGGCCCAAGAGGCCTGCAAAGCGCCCCAAGAGGCCTCCAGGAGCTTTCCCACGAGAGCCACAAGAGGCAGAATTCATGGATTTCTCCATACGTTTTTGACAGATTTGGGCATTCTTGCCTCTTCCGCTTCCCGACGCGCCAAGACGGCCCCCAAGATCGCCCCGAGACGGCCCAAGAGGCCCCTGTAGAGGGTCCCCTAACGGCCGAAGAGTGCCCCAAGACGGCCCAAGACGCCTCCAAGACGGCTTTCTTTTGGGCGACCACGACGACGATGACGACGAAGACGCCTTGTACGTGGCTCTGCGGGCGATCGGCAGCGAGTGAGAGAGGCCATGTTTTGCAGCACTGCAACATGTGCAGCATTGACACGTGCAGCCGCCTCTCGGTTTGGAACTTCGCGCGTTGGGCATCCCAAGGACGCTGCGTCGCTGTGATCGTTACTTTGCTGCGCCGCCGTTCCAAAGCCTTCGACGCGGCCCGAAAAAGGCGCCGCGACTGTCGTGGCCCACTCCCGCGCCCGCCGCGATCGAGGCGCAGATCTTCCAACGATGATCTGGCCCGGACTCTTGAACGTCCTGCTTTTGCAAAGCTCGAACACCTGGGACCCCACATCAGCACACTGGCGGCCATCAGTGGGGGAACACCAGAACGCGCCTCACAGGAACTACGGCAGCAGTGGCTGGCAGCCTCGCACATTCCAGCGCGCGCCACCCAACCTCGATCTGCTCAACCCCGTGGATTTGAAATCCACGGGTCCACACGAACGAAGGCTGTGTATATATATGAACACATACAGTACACATAGATTTTTCATGTTCAAAATATACACCATTACAAGACAGAAACTGTGCGAAAATTACAAATCACGCGTGCGTGAAGAATCACCCACAACAAACGGACTCGGACTGGGCCCGTGCCGACAGGGGGCCCCCGGGGCTGTTGAAGGCGAACGTGTCCCCCGACGACTCCGCGCTCATCGGCAGGAAGGGCCGAAGCGTCATGTCCCCGAGCCGCAGCCGCCGCGCCTCGGCGACACTGCCGCCGCCAGCGTCGTGGGCGTCGGCGGCGTCGACGGCGGAGGGCGGGAGGGGAGGGAGGACCACGACGAAGGAGAGAAGGGGCAGGAGGCGGGAGAACGGAGGGAGGAGCAGGGGGGAGGAGGGAGGGAGGGGGCTAAGAGGAGGGTTTGGTGGAGGGGGGAGCAGAGGGAGCGAGGACGCGAGAGAAGGGAGGAGAGAGAGGAGGAGGAGGAGGATGAGGAAGGGAGAGTGATGGCCTGGTAACAGATCTCGTAACGAATTATTATGGTGGCGACGTCGTGCGACTGTGCGTCAGCCCCCCCACCCTTTTGAAGGCCTCGCCCGACTCCGTCCTGATCTCCCCCCGCCCCTAGCAACATGCCTTCCGACACGGTACAGGAAGGACCCCAGGATGCCCGTCAGGTCTCGAAGACGACCCATCATGTCCAAAGATGGGCCTCACGAGGCACCGACATGCCCGTCGGTCGGAAGAAGTGAGTAGAAACATGAAGTAGGAAGGCGGCGCAAGCAGATTGGGCTTCCGCCCGCCCACTGAAGAGGTAGGACAAGGGGAAGCCGCTCGATCATTGAAGTAGGAAGGCGCCCAAAGTAGCTTGGGATCCGAGAACCCGAACACACCTGCGTACGTTCAACGGCCGACGGGTAGCTCACACAATGCTCCCACGAGGCCAAGGAACGCTCCCACGAGGCGGCATCACTCAAGATCCAGTGGCCTCGCGCACGCTCCGCGCTCTCTCCCGCCCGGCCGCACCCGACTCCGAGACGGGCCCCAGAGAGCTCCAGGAAGGCTCGAGCGGCCCCCGCGAGCGACCTCGAGAAAGCCCCCCGGGCGCAGCCCCGCGAAGCCTCGGGATGGCCCCAGGAGGCCCTCCCCCTCGCCCCCCTCGCGAGCGACCTCGAGAAAGCCCCCGGGCGCAGCCCCGCGAAGCCTCGGGATGGCCCCAGGAGGCCCTCCCCCTCTCGCCGCCGGCCTTGACGTGTCCCTCGCCACGCCCTCGTGGCACGAGCCGGGGCGACTCCCCCTCCTCCTCCTCGTCCTCCTCCTCCTCCTCCTCCTCCTCCCCCTCCTCCTCCTCGTCCTCCTCCTCCTCCTCATCTTCCCCCTCCTCTTCCTCCTCCTCCTCCTCCTCCTCTTCCTCCTCTTCTTCCTCCTCCCCCTCCTCCTCCTCCCCCTCCCCCCCTTCACCACCACCACCACCACTTGTCTCGGCCCCTAAGTCTGAGAAATCCCGCCAGCTCTCTGGGCGGCGTGAGTGGTTCAGCGATTTTCCTGTTCCGTCTTCCCTCTTCCCTTTCGGGGAGGGGCTTCCCCCCTCCCGATACCCCGTCCCCCTGGATTTTGAGGGGGTGTTCTACGAGGCGTTGGAGTGTCCGAGATGGCCTCGGCGAGGACGCCCAAATCATTGATTTTGCAATGGTCTTGGCCACAGATTAGCCTCCAGGGGCGGGCTGCTAGATAGAATCTCCCCCTTTTCTGATCGACCTCCTACAAGGAGGCCCCAAGATGGCCCCCGAAGCTCCCAGGGGTGCCCGAAGACGGCTTCAAAAGATGCCTAGGAGGCCCCAAGAGGTCCCCAAAAGGCCTCCAAGATGCCCCCAATAGGCTCCCAAGAGACTCCCAAGAGGCTCCGAGAGGCCAACAAGAGTCACCCAAAAGGCCCAAGAGGCCCCCAGGACTGCCAAGAGACCCCCGCGACGCCCCCAGAGGACTTCAAGAAACTCTGGAAGAAATTCGAAGAGACTCTGAGAGGCATCGAAGAGGCCCCTGGACTCTCTGTTCGTCCCCCGCGACGCCCCAAGAGGACTTCAAAAAACTCTTGAAGAAATCCGAAGAGACCCCGAGAGGCATCGAATAGGCCCCTGGCCTTTCTGCTCGTCCTCCGCCGCCGGCACCGGCATGGTGGCGGGGTGTGTCGCGTGCTGCTGATGTCCTCCTCCTCCTCCTCCCCCTCCTCCTCCTCCTCCTCCTCCTCCTCCTCCTCCTCCTCCTCCTCCTCCTCCTCCTCCTCCTCCTCCTGTGATCTTCTCCCTGGGCTCCCTCTGGCGGCGGACCACTTCGTCTCGGTCATCTCGTTTGACGCCGACGTCGTCGCCGGAGGCGAGGGCGGAGGCGAGGGCGTCCCCGGCGGCGGGAGGCCCGCGGGGCCCAGCGCGGGCCCCGTGGGGTCGGGTCCTGCCCGCGGGCTGCGGGGCCTCGCCCAGTTGTGCCACGCTCTTGCCGCGCTGGCAGGAGAGCCCAGGCTCGACACGATGAGGCGGATCGGCGATCGGAATGAATCGGATCGGCGGAAACCGGCATCCGAGCCGGGAAAAGTCGAGCAGGCGGAAATCGGCAGGCTGGCATGCCTCCCTAAAGAAGTCGGAGCCCAAGTCGGAGTCCCAAGTTGAATCGAATCGGAATCGGAAGCCATCGAAATCGAAACGAATCGAATCGGAGGAATCGAAAGGAGCCCTGTATTGGCGGGTGTGCTCATCGAACTTATCGGTGAGTTCCTGGATCCAAGCCGTGCGATCCGCGACGGCCTTCTTTCGGGCGGGTGGCAATGGGCGGTGACCCAAACGGGGGGGTCGGCTTAGGACAGCCCCGCGGGGAAGAGTCTCACAAGACCAAAACAAAGGGGGGGAAGTGGCACCCCTCAGAGAGGGATTTGTCACCCTGGAGGACAGAGCTCCCCACACTCTGACCAGGGCCCGCGACAGGGTGCCGCCAGAAGAGGGAGTTGTCACCCTGGAGGACAGAGCTCCCCACACTCCGACCAGGGCCCGCGACGGGGTGCCGCCAGAAGAGGGCCCTCGAGGAGCACCTTTTGGGCCCCGCTTGGAGCCGGCAGGCGCCCCAGAGGGGGCCCTGCAGTGCCCCTCCAGGGCCCTTTTTTGGCGGCGCGCACAAGGGGGTGGGGGGAGGGGGAGGGCTTCTTAGAAGCAGGCTGCTTCTTAGAAGGCGCCGGCCTTACATCTACAGATAAGGCCCGCGCCTTCTAGGAAGCAGGGGTGCTTCTAAGAAGCCCTCCCCCCTCCCCCCACCCCCCTCTGCGCGTGGCTGACTTTTCTTCGCCCCCCACTTGGGCCACGCCCGATTCCAATGGTCCAGGGTGTCCCCGGCCGCAGTGAGCTGGTCGACGGGGCGGGCTCGGTCGTGGGGGAGATGTTGGCCAGCTGCTGCTGGAGGGGCTCCGGCGGCATCGGCGCGGCCTGCTTGCCCAGCAGTGCGGCGCGGGCCGTGCACCGCTCGACCAGGACGGTGCTGCCCATTCTCTCAGCGAGGCCGCGCATGCTGGCGGCATCCTCGATAGCGAGATCGTCCAACTGCAGGCCGTCATCAGCACTTAAAAGAGCAGGAGGATAGTTGAAGACCAGGCGTTGCTTCTTGAAAAACGTAGCCCAGCGGCCCCCGAGGCCGTTGGGCGGGTTTTCGGCAAGTTGGTCCATCCTGGTGGCGAAACGCCCCAGGCCCACTTCTTGAGGATATTGCCGCAGCCGCACTTTGTGCACATCCACGTGTCGGTGGCGTTGCGGTGGACCCAGGCCTGTCGAACCCGGCCACCCTTGGTCATTCGCGAACTCCACGAAATGCATGCTCCAGCAAGATTTCGCAGTGCGCATCTGGGGCGGACCAGGCGCGGACCAGGCAAGGATTCACGCATGGGCGAGCATGCCGAACACTCCAGCAGGAGCTCAGTCCTCACCAGGGTCGGTCGGACCAGGTAAGGAAGATAAGGATCCAGGCCAGGGCGAGCAGGCCGAAGTTTTGATGTAAGCCGCAGATCAGCTGTCCCTGCCTGAAGCTGGACAGCCTCTTGGGAAGAACTCTTGGAGCCAGAATGGCTACGGGGAAGGAGGGAGGAGGGAGTGAGGGGGAGGGGGGAGGGAGGAAGGGAGGGAGGGAGAAGGAGAAGGAGTTAACATGAAAGGCGGGGGGGGGGGCGCCTCGTTCGGTTGATCTCCCTCCATGCGGCGGTCCGCAGTCGCCTCATGGCTGCATGCGGCAGTCAAATTTTCCGAGATGCCGGCCCTCACGGTGTCGACCGAGAAAAAGCCGTTATCCAGGGTGTCCCGGCAGATCGAGCACTCGAACTCGCTGGAACACACGTAGGGCGTCGTCCCGAAGCTGTTCGTGTTCGGCCTCGTGAGCTCGAATCGCACACCAGCCTCCAGCCGACGGGGTACATACTCACTCTCCTCCTCGCCCTCCTCCTCCTCCTCCTCCTCCTCCTCCTCCTCCTCCTGCTCCCCCTCCTCCTCCTCCTCCTCCTCCTCCTCCTCCTCCTCCTCCTAAAAAGGCCGCCCCACCGACCGCCACGCCGCCGACCGCCGAGGCGAGCGGGGAAGGCGCCCCCGAGGGCCCTCGCCGCCGCCGCGCCGCGGCCGTTCCCGCGGGGGCAGGCCAGCGCGACTGCAGAACGGCGCTGCCAGGGCGGCACGCCGAGTGCAAGTCAGCACGGCGCTGGACCTCCTCCTGCGCTTCCGCTTCCGCTTCCGCCTCCTCCTCCTTCCTCCTCGCTCCTCCTCTTCCTCCTCCTCCTCCTCCTCCGCCTCCTCCTCCTCCTCAAACTCCATCCTCCTCGTCCTCCTCCTCCTCCTCCTCCTCCTCCTCCCCCTCCTCCTCCTCCTCCTCCTCCTCCATGCTCCTCCATGCCCCTCCTCCTCCTCCTCCTCCTCCTCCTCCTCCTCCTCCTCCTCCTCCTCCTCCTCCTCTCCATGTCCTCCTCCTCCTCCTCCTCCTCCTCCTCCTCCTCCTCCTCCTCCTCCCATGTTCCTCCTCCTCCTCCTCCCATGTTCCTCCTCCTCCTCCTCCATCCTCCTCCTCCTCCTCCTCCTCCTCCTCCTCCTCCTCCTCCTCCTCCTCCTCCTCTCCTCCTCCTCCTCCTCCTCCTCCTCCTCCTCCTCCTCCTCCCTCCTCCTCCTCCTCCTCCTCCTCCTCCTCCTCCTCCTCCTCCTCCTCCTCCTCCTTCTCCTCCATGTTCCCCCGCCTCTCTCCTCCTCCTCCACCTCCTCCTCCTCCTCCTCCTCCTCCTCCTCCTCCTCCTCCATGTTCCCCCTCCTCCTCCTCCTCCTCCTCCTCCCTCCATGTTCCCCCTCCTCCCCCTCCTCCCCTCCTCCTCCTCCTCCTCCTCCTCCTCCTCCTCCTCCTCCTCCTCCTCCTCCTCCTCCATGTTTCTCCTCCTCCTCCTTCGCCTGCTCCGCATACGAACCTGTCCTCGTCTTCGCGTGCGCGCGTCCAGGTGAACAAAAAACTCACTCCCCGCGTCGTCCTTCTCCGCCTCCGCCTCCTCGCGCTCCTCTTTCTGCTCCCTTCCCTCCGTACATCCTCCTCCGCCTGTTCCGGGCCACGCGCAGGAGTGATCCCAAGCAAGGAGTGCCCTCCGGGTGCGCGGCTTGAGGGGGCCGAGGGGGCACCAGCGATCCACACCGCTAGAAGCGAGCGCATTGGGCCCGCACCAGAAGGGCCACTCTGGCGAGGGGTCACTCCTGGGCGCAGCCGATTCTCCTCTGTGGACGCCCGACATGGGCACGGAAGAAGTGGGTACAGCCGAGGCCCGACCACGCTTCTCCACCGCAGAACTGTCGAGGCCCAAGAAACCCAGGGCACCCTGGAGGCAAGCAGGGTGCTTCTTGGCATGGCCCCCCGCTGCACGATGCCCGACGGCAGACGTTGTCCGAACACGGCAGCGGCCGCCGCTGCGCCGGCGGCCTGCCGCCTCCAGTGGGCCCCGTCCGCGGCGACGCCGACAGCGAGTCCTCGCAGCATGACCAGAAAAAGACGCTGCCAGGACTTGGGCCCATTCCTTCCGCACCCGTTTCGATCGTCCTGAACCTCCGCCGCATCCCCCGGTCAGCCTGCAACTGGTTGTAGAGGTCCACGCGGGCCGAATTGCCGTAGAGGGGATCGTCGTCGGTGCTGTTGCTCAAAGCCACCCCGTAATGCGCCGGCCTCTCGACGGCCTGACAGCGTGTCAGATCTGTCCTTCTGCCCCGACCCCTGCCCGCTCGACTTGTGAACACCAGCTTGTTCGGCGGCTTCTCGGTGCAGTCGGCCCGTATCAGAAGGATGCGCGATGAGGATGCAGTGACCTTGGATGCCCACCTCGAAGCTTTTCGAGCGGTGTACGGCCAGCGAAAGCAGCCAAGGATGGGCCGAGGAGGCAAGGATGCAAGGGCATCCTTGGGAAAATTGCCCACCCTTACTATGCGGGTTGACCCTACCACGGGATATGCCCTGGTCGAGATGGGCTGCTCCCAGTGGTTTCTGTCTAGGAAGGTCGGGTGCGTGTCCCTGGCGCTGATGAACCTGTTCGGTACATCTGAGAGACTTGTGCGCGGCTTCTGACTTTGGCGTAGCTCTAGCATGCAGTATGACTCATAACTGTGGCACGACGAAGACACACTTGAGACACATAGTCTGTATATCAAGCGCACATGGACAGCCTAACTCTACCACATCGAACGCACACACGTATAGGCTGCCTACGTTGTCACATGTGTATGAAGGCGCACCTGTATCCGCCCTTCGTCCGATGCTCTGATCGGCAACAGTGGCACATCATGGTCTTCCTCGGCCATGGGAGAAGCCCACGCCTACAC